CTCCCCCACTCCCTTCTCCCCACCCCCCAACCCCACTGAGCCGTACCTTCCTGGCTCGGGTTCTCACACACTCGCCCACTGCCTCCTCGAAGTCTCCTCCGCTGAGCAGCCAAGCCTGTCGGGCCTCGTCCCTGGTGACGGGGCCCACCTCGTTCTCGGGCATGGCCTGGCCCTTCTGCGATGCCAGGTCGGCAATGCTGTCCAGCATCTGGGGAAGCTCTGTCTGCAGCCAGACCAGGGGCTCCTCTGTCCCCGAGCTACGGAGAGCACAGCACACCTCCTCGGGACTCACCAGCTGTTCCTCACCCATCTGCAAAACACATCGCAGCTTCGTCTCTATTCCTGCCACCGGGCATGGGGCACAGTGCACGGGCAACACTTCAGCCAAGTGAGGGCACTGGTAGAAATCCTCCATACTAATGGGCAGAGTCTACATAGAGTCATACAGCACAGAAACAGACCCTTCGGCCCGACCCAGATATCCTAAACTAATCCAGTCCCATTTGGCCCCTATCCCTCTAAACCCTTCCTATCCACGTCCTCATCCTGATGACTTTTAAATGTAGTAACTGTACCAGCCCCCACCCACTTCCTCTGGCAGGTCGTTCCATACACGCACCACCCTCTGTGTGAAAAAGTTACCCCTTTTAAATCATTCCCCTCTCACCTTAAACCTATGCCCCTCTTTGGACTCCCCCCACCGCAGGAGAAAGACCTTGGCTATTCACCCTATCCATGCCCCTCATGATTTTATAAAACTCTATAAGGTCACCCCTCGTCCTCCGACACTCCAGGGAAAACAGCCCCCAGTCTATTCAGCCTCTCCCTGTAGCTCAAACCCTTCAACTTTCTGAAGCCTTTCAAGTTTCACAACATCCTTCCTATAGCAGGGAGACCAGAACTGAACGCAGTATTCCAAAAGTGGCCCTAACCAACGTCCTGTACAGCTGCAACATGACCCTCCCAACTCCTGTACTCAACGCACTGACCAATAAAGGCAAGTGTACCAAACTTGGAAAGTTGGGCGGAGAAATGGCAGGTGGGGTTTAACCCAGACAAGTGTGAGGTGATGCATTTTGGGAGGTCAAATGCAAGGAGAAAGTTTACAGGAAATGCCAAGACCCATGATATACAGAGGGATCTTGGGGTGCAAGTCCACAGTTCCCTGAAAGTGCCAACACAAGTGGGCAAGGTGGTAAGGAAGGCATATGGCATACCTACCGTCATCAGTCAGGGTACTGGGTACACAAGTTGGCATGTCGCGTTACAACTGTATAAGACTTTAGTGCAGGCACATTTGGAGTACTGTGCACGGTTCTGGTCCCCATACTAGAGGGAAGAACGTGGAGGCTTTGGAGGGGGTGCAGAGGAGGGTCACCAGGATATAGTCTCGATTGGAGTGGGTTAGCAGGGAGGAGAAGTTGGACAAACTTGGGATCGTTTTCACTGGTCGGAGGCTGAGGGGGCGACCGAACAGGGGTTTACAGAATGATGAGATACGTGGACAGGGTGGGGTCTCTTTTCCCCGGAGAGGGGACGTTAAATATAGGTTTAAGGTGAGAGGGGAAAGTTTGAGGGAGGTGTGCGAGGCAAGTTTTATTTTACACAGAGGAAATTAGACGCCAGGAATGCACCACCAGGAGAGGTGGTTTAAGCAGACAGGGTACATGAAGAGCCAGGGAATAGAAAGATACGGGCCAGTTGCAGGCAGATGGGATCAGTTTAGAATGGCATCATGGTCAGCACAGGCATGGTGAGCTGAAGGGCCTGATCCTGTGCTGTACTGTTCGACATTCTAAAGAAGACGCAAAAGGGGATTGACAACAGGAGGCATGGAGAGGCTGTTCCTTCATTTCGGACAATCTAGAACGCAAGGCCGCAGTTTTAGGATAAGGAGGGGGGGTTGGGGTCAGGTTAAAAACAGAGACAGGGAGGAATTACCTCGCTCAAAGGGGGCGGTGAATCTATGGAACACACTCCACCCCCCCTGTCAGTGCGCGGTGGGACATCAGAGTATGTTTCAGGAAGAGATGGATACATTTTTGATCAGTAACGGGGTTGCAGGGTCACGGGGAACGAGAGGGAAGTGTATAAGGAGGGAACGGACACATTTTAGATCAGTAACGGGGTTGCAGGGTCACGGGGAACGAGAGGGAAGTGTATCAGGAGGAGACGGACACGTTTTTAATCAGTAACGGGGTTGCAGAGTCACGGAGAGTGAGAAGGAAGTGTATGAGGAGGAGACGGACACGTTTTTAATCAGTAACGGGGTTGCAGGGTCACGGGGAGCGAGAGGGAAGTGTATAAGGAGGGAACGGACACGTTTTTAATCAGTAACAGGGTTGCAGTGTCACGGGGAGCGAGAGGGAAGTGTATAAGGAGGGAACGGACACGCTTTTAATCAGTAACGGGGTTGCAGGGTCACGGGGAGCGAGAGGGAAGTGTATAAGGAGGAGACGGACACGTTTTTGATCAGTAATGGGCGCCAGCGATCCAAGATGGCCGCCTACTCACCCGAATCATCTGCACCAAGCACAGTCCCGCCGCTCGCATCTCCTCCTGCCTGGCCTGGTCCGCCTCGTCTGACCCATCTCCTGACGGCGTGGCCCCCAGACGCTCCTCCAGCCTCTGCTGCTTGGGGCGGGGGCTGGTCCCAGCCGGCACCGCCTGGCCCTGCCCGGCGCGGGCGCTGGCCTGCTCACACACCTCACAGATCTGGCTCGCGTTCAGGTTGAGGTAGGTGCAGAACTGACACTCCCAGCCCTGTGGGTGTGGGGCAAACGGTGAGGGAGAGAGGGAGAGAGAGAGAGAGAGAAGGAGAGAGAACGGGGAGTGGGGGGGAACAGGCAGAGAGAGGGAGAATGGGGAGAG